CAGTTTCGCATTCATGTCGCCCATCAGGATTTTGATATCGCTCTTTGGGACGTTGTCCATTACTGTTTGTAGTTGACTGTAGAAATCCTCCTTCTTCTCTTTTTCTGAGACGTTTGTAGGCGCGTAGCATTGAATAATAGTAACCTTTTTTCCTTTTGAGTTGAACCTGGCTGTCATTATCCTGGAGGAGATTGGTTCCCACTGCATGAGAGCTTTGGTTGCTGTTGGTGACATCATGATGGCTACTCCCTCGGTGTGCTCGTGATCGTCCTCTGGGTGACCGGAATAGATTATTGTCTCTCCAGTTGATAGTTGGCTCCTTCCACATCCGTTCCATCTGCTCTCGCAGATTCCCAACACTTCTATTTTATATCTCCTCATTTCTGCGGCTACCTGGGCAGCCTTCCCAGCTTCGTACATTGTACGAACATTCCACGTCCCCGTCCTTATTTTCGCTTTTATCGAAAGAAGGCACATCGGCTGACTGGCTTCCCGAAGGCTTTCACCAGCCTGCGTCATTTCACTTCCCCGATTCCAGCGAAAAATAAGGTTATTGTTTGTATTTTTAGAATTTTGAATATATTTGTGCGTTGAAGTTTTAGTAGCAATTTGGTTAAGTTTTGGGGGTGAAGTTGCTAGCACCACGCCCCAACCCTCCCTCTTTATCCGGGCTTGGGACCGGCTAGAATACTAGTGACCTAGTAATCTAGGCGAGGTTATAGTAATAGTAGTAATGATAAAAATGATCTTATCAATAATAAGGATGAAAAAGTGAGGCAATGTGTGATAACACGAATAATGAAAAACAGTATGATTAAACAAACAACCGTTCAGGTGGAAGTAGTCGATAAATGCTAGTAAAAACAAATGAACCGATTAAGTAATGTTGGATTGTAAGGGAAGGAAATGAAACACGTTTATAATGAAGATAAGATTAAGGGATGATAAGAAAGGGTTTGAAAATATAAACAAAGGGTGGTGTAGAAGTCATTAGTTGGTTATGTCTTAATAGGCCAAGGGAGGGATAATGGCTGTACGAACTTTATGGAATACATAGTTTAGGTTTAATAGTTCGAATGCCTATCGCCTCAGATGTGTCCAATAAACGAATACGAAGTCTATTGGAAAGATTCGGTGGGATACGATGAATTACTTTGAAGGCTCTGGTTTTCTCGATTACTTGACCACTATCAATTAAGTGTGACAAAATTTAGTTACGAATTGTTTTCGTCTATCCTTTGCCAAACCACGATGGGAGATGTTCACTAACACGTTGACTAAGCTGTCTAGTAGTACGCCCAGTATAACTGTCACCGCATGTGCAGTTGAATTGATAAATGACATAGATGTGGCAAAACTACCAAGCTTATCCTTCGTTTGCGTTCCAATCATTCGTCGGCTAGAGAATGACAAACAGGTGTGCTGCATAAAATGTTCTTCTATACTCCTTGGAAGTCTTTGGAATAGAATCTCACTTGATAAGTCACCATTAAACTGTAACTTAATAAATAGAGGTTTCTTACGTGCAGTCAGAGTTTCCGGATTTTTCTCCGATGTTTTCATATGTTTCCTTATTAAAGTACTCGGATAGCCCATCTCCATCAAGGAATCGTGAATATATTCAAATTCCTTTTGTAAGCGGTCATCCGTACATATATATCTTTCTTGCTCTGATCGCAATACATTTTACAACATTCCTTTTATATTTAATGGACACGTAACTAAGGAAGTGTGTGTATTGCCCTGTGAAAGTGCTTTTTCTATACACGCTTCTCCCAAGTGACCCATCTTCTCTCCTACTTAACAAGACATCCAGGAAATGTAGTTTATTCTCCTGCTCCTCTTCATAAGTAAAGGTAAGCGAAGGGTGGATGATGTTGAATTTCAGCAACAATTCGTCTATGTTAACATTCCCATCAGCTAAGATAAATGTATCATCCACATATCGGTAATACATATCAAACTGCTTGATGATGTCCTTCAATTTCCCGTTTTCAAGTTTTGCGAGAAAGAAGTCAGCTAATATTGGGCCTAATGGTGAACCCATAGCTATTCCATCTACTTGTCGATAGTATGAATTATTGAAGACAAAGTGAACATTCATTGTGCATTTAAGAAGTAATTCTTTGAGGCTACACAAGGGGATTCCTCAGTCTTATTGCCTTTCGGCGATTTCTTGACAGATATAATCTACTGTTTCCATAAGCGGTACATTAGCGAATAGTGATGATACATCCATGGATAACATGCGTTTTTACCTCACATTAGTCTCGGATATTTTAGAAATAAAGTCGAAGATATTACTAATTCTATGATGCACGATTTCTCTGTGCAAAGGACCCAAAATCTTCACCAACCACTTCGCTGTTCCGTGAAATGGAGAGTTATACATATGTAAAACAGATATGTATAACTCTCTCCTCACCAGTTGTTGTACGGGCCTACGTAGCCCTTTGGTAGTTTGACAAGGTAGCCTTTCTCCCAATCAGTGGGTATCTTTTCTTTCTTACAAACATCTTCCAAAAGTGACGTCAGCATATCTGCCACAGTCTCTGGGTCGCTTTTCAGTGCTTCAGGGAGGATTCCTGGTCTTCAGTAACTTGACTGCATTCAAGACTTCTGCTTTTGTTAGCTTCATGTGTTGATTTCCTCCCGGTTTAAAACCTGGTTATCTGAAATAATGTTCTGAGGTCTCTTTTACCTTCAGCCTGTTCTGCTTCAGTTGCCAGTTTGTCGTAGAATTGTTTTTCCTAGCGCTCTTCTTCACTTCTTTATTCAGTGCGATGTACATTAAACTCAACTACTTCTGTTGTCCATCTTTGCATTGGTTCTTCTGTTTCACGATCCTCCTCTCTCCCATTAACTCCCAGGTGTTCGTTGAGAGCCATTTTTTGCCTTGCTTCTTCTTTCTTCCTAAAATGGCTGTACATGTTTCCTTGAACATCACTTTCAGAGAGTTCCCCTGTTGTTCCACGCAGGTTTTCTTAGTGATGCTACGTAATGTCTGTGACTTTGGAGTGATATCTGCACTGAAGGTGTCTTTTTGTAGTTTTGTCCTTCAGTTTTTTGAGTGTTCGACTTGAATTTTGGTCTGTTGTTCTGGAACATTTCAGCTTGATGTTTAAGGTTTCTTGAACTAAATAGTGGTCTGAGTTTGCATCTGCTCCCCTTCTCGACGTTGTATCCAACAGGCTGCCTCTCAGCCTTCTTGAGATTGATATGAATTTTATCTGGTTTTTGGTGTGTCCGTCAGGTGAAATTCATGCTGCCTCAGGTATATCCTTGTGCTTGTACACACTGCCTTTGATTACCAAATCACTGAAGGCTCAGGGGCCTGAGAAGAGTTCTCCATTGTCATTCATTTTGCCGAGCGAGAGCCTCTCGACACATGATGCGTTCTGTTCCTGTATTGTCTGCTCCCAGTTTGGCATTCATATCTCCCATCAAGATTTTGATGTCTCCATTTGGGATGTTTTTCATTACTGTTTGCAGTTATCTATAGAAATCTCCCTTCTTTTCTTGCTCCGAGTTGTTTGTAGCATTGGATAACTGCAACCTTCCTTCTTTTTGAGTTGAATATTGCTGTCATAATCATAGTGGAGATTGGTCCCTACTGCAGAAGAGCTTTAGCTGCTGTTGGTGACATGATGATAGCTTTTCCCTCTGTGCTCGTGGTTGTCATCTGGGTGACTGGAGCAGATTACTGACTCTCCAGCTGATAATTTCGACAGTCCACATCCATTCCACCTGCTCTCGCAGATTCCTAAAACTTCTATGCCGTATCTTCTCATTTCTTCGGGTACTTGGGCAGCCTTCCCAGTTTCGTACACCGCGTGAACATTCTGCGTCCCAATTCTTATTTTCGCTTTAATCGAAAGAAGATACATCAGCTGATTGGCTTCGTGAAGGTTTTCACCAGCCCGCGTCATTTCGTCTCTCCGATTCCAGCGAAAAGTAAGTTTTTTATGTTTTTCCTGTGCTTTGAAGTTTTTACAGCTATCAGAGTGACTTTTCTTGGGGTAGGGTCGCTAGCCCCACCCTCAAACGCTTCCTTCCTTTTCGCAGGCTTAGGACAGGTTAGAAAACCAGCGAACTAGTAAACTTGACGAGGTCGTCAACAGAGAATCTAAATGTAAAATTAAAATCAAAACTTAATAGAAATACTGACAACAATATATTAATGATTGGAAGAATAAAAATTACCGTTTACTTACTGTCTCACAGTAAGTTAGTAGGTAACACTTCTCACCCGGTAGAATGTGTGCTAAATAAAGTATCGTAATTTCTTTACTTAATCGTCTGAGCATGAGGTCTTTTATAATTGCTTCTAGTCCTACCCGATAGATTTTAAAGGGAGGGTTTTGTATAAGGAGTATGTTAAGAGTCCAATTTCTATGAAATCAAGTATCTGCCCACAACAGTATTAACCAGTTGGTGTGACGGTACCTCACACTCCTTATCCTCAGTTTTTAGCGCCTTTTGCAGTGTAACAAAATCTTAAGTAACCCGGGAAAGATTAAGGGAGAGCAATAAAGAAGGATAGGTAGAATACAAGAATTAACAGACTGTAAAAGTAGAGACTGAGTGATACCAGATTGTCTTAGCTTTCTCACGTGGAAGCTTAGACGAAATGCTTTTGTAGACTAACAGAATAAATCAGAGGAAAGACATAATCCAGGGTATTCAACATTCGACATATTTCCGAATTCAGTTCGTTCTATGGTGGGAGAATCATGGGGGCGAACCAGTTGATTTGAGTCACTCTTGTGTCTGAAAGGAAAATTAAAAATCTGACATTTAGAGGAATTTAGCTTAAGACCATTCAATAAGGACTTCTGATTACTTTTTGGTGGAAAGCCATTCATTTTGGAACAATTTTATTGGGAAGTAGCAGGCATAGAAACAGTCAAGTTGTCTTTATACTTGCGAAGATAAGCTTCACGAGAACGAGCCAAGTTATTTTATTTATTTTAATTTCTCTACTCTTTATTTTCCTGCAGTAAATAATTCATCACAAGATGTATCCAAATTAGAAGCTTTGTCTATGATGCGTGATGCAAAACGTCGTCGTCAAAGTTATCGTGGCATACATACAGCAAGGAAATCATACACTGAGGTATGTAAGTTATTCATTCATTCAGTGTATATTAGTCATCTGTGAGTGAATCAGATTGTGAACACAATCGATCAGTTATTATTCTTCATTGTATTCGGGAAAAATAAACAGAGAGGGTGATATAGAGGAAAAAAAGAATTATTAAGTGTAGAGTATTTTTTGTATTGCTTTTATATTTGTCACATAAAGAATATACTCCAACAATCAAATTCAGCTCCTTGTATCTAACTTCAATTTTAACGTTTGTATTCTCATTCATAACGTCATATAGTTTAACTTGAATAGCCTGGTGATACTCTTTCAGACCTACTCTTAAATAGCATAGCTTACACAAACAAACATAACCAAAATGTATATAAATTACAAAACAACGTTTGAACATACGTTTACGCGCTGATGAGAAATGGATTGATCGGGACTTGGACTAATATAAGTTCGAATTGGTGTAACTTGTTAAGTTACTATTATTGACTATTCACAACATAATTAGACGAATATTTTCGAAAGAATGAAGGCAAAGTTCAAGATTTCGTATGGAAACTAAGTTACTAAAATAGGTTACTTAACTATCAAAAAAAGTTGTTATTGATAAAGTAGTAGAAAAGAGTAAGGTGAGTGATGTTCAGATTAAAGATCACTTATATCTTATATTCACTCTGTGTTACTGTTCATCTGATAAGCAGTTGAGACTAATGCATGATACAATAGTATAACTGAGCTCATATATTATCCTACTGCACATTTGTTATTGTTGTTGTACTTGCTTGATTCCTATTGACTTAAGTTTATTTGCATAATTTTCACAACCACATGGGCGAAGTTTTTCATATAGTTCTGTATTGATAGTCGATTCATCTTTCATTTTTTTCAATAAGTCGGTTAGCTGGAGATCCGTCTGTTCAGTTGGATCTTTTTGGATTGTCTGTTCTGTCCATCGGGTTCTACATCGCCACAAATGTACAGACTACCCAAAGTGCACAAAAAAGGACGTCCCACTCCGCCCAATATTAGATATGATCAGTTCGCCATATCACCTAATCGCGAAGTGGCTGGTAGAAATTCTTGGACCAGTGAAAGAAAAGTTGTCGAGATACAACCTCCGCGACACATTCGATTTCGTGGATTCAATTAAAAATGTCAACCTCGCAAATAAAAGATGGTCTCCCTAGACGTCGTCTCCCTGTTCACCAATGTTCCACTGACAGAAACTATATGCTTTCTGTGTGACTTCATCCAATGCAACAGCATAGATGTCGGCAGACCGATCCATTATCTAAAGGAGCTGTTACTACGTTGCACCTTCAACGTCTACTTCAGATTCAACAATGAAATCTACGGGCAAACAGATGGCGTAGCAATGGGCTCTCCACTCGGACCACTCCTAGCCGACTGTTTTATGGCCAGCCTCGAAAACAACCCCTTATCATCAACTATCGACGACCTCCATCTCTACAAGAGATACATTTATGATACTTTCATCATTTTTGATGAGAAGCTGGACCTTGAAAACTTACTTCAAATCTTCAACAACGCCCACCCAAACATCGACTTTACACTTGAGATTGAATCCGACGGAATGTTCCACTTCCTGGACGTCCATCTGACAAGAAACGACAACAACTCTTTGAAAAGGTCAATATACAAAAAGCCTACATGGAATGGACAATTCATCAACTTTCAGAGCTTCGTGCCGCTAAGCAAAAAGAGGAACCTGATATACGCTCTTTCCTCGAGGATTCGGAAGATATGCAGCGAGGAAGTGATTGAAGAAGAACTGCGTAATCTCCGAAAAACCCTGATAGAAAACGGTTTCCCTCCCAGGTTCATAGACAAGAATCTCAAACATAAGAAGACTCCCGAACAAGCCCAATCCGTTCCAAAGAAAATACTTCTGCTTAATCTGGAATTCAAAGGTGATATTGAAGCAGAAATCCCCCGCAAACGCCTCTCCAAATCGCTGAGGAAAACATACTTCGCCGCGAGCCTACGACTGACGTTTTCCTGCAAGAAACTGTTCAACCAGAACGCGAAAGACAAGCTGTCGCATTGGGCCACCTCAACGTGCATATACCAGTTTATTTGTTCTTGTGGAGCTGAGTACATCGGCCGTACCATGCACCAACTTGAAAAACGGGCTCGCGAACACTACCCAGTCTGGCTTGTAAAAGGAGACCAAAAACGTGTATACAGTTCAGTGACAGAACATCTGGTCAACTCAGGACATTCAGTGCCTTTCGAAAAATCCTTCAAAGTAATATATAAGATTCAATCAAACCTATCAAAGGGAGTGAAATCAAAATATCTGGGCATAGCTGAGGCGCTAGCTATCCAAAAACTCAAATCCACTCTTTGTATCCAAAAGAAATACATCCAACCTCTGTCCCTGCCATGGCCATCATAAACAGGTAAATTTTTTAATAATGACCATCCCATCGCCTTTCTTATCTAAACTTCCTGTTCATTCATGTTATTTTAAGTTTTTCTTAATCCCTGTCTACACTACCATATTTTCATATCCAAACATCCTGTATATATTGTTATTTCTACATTTCTAACCCCCAATTGCACAATGTCAATCTTCTTAGTTATTATGCTACTTTTTTTGAGGTTTACCCGTCCCCCTGTTTATTATGGCATTCTAATTCCTAATTGTAATTTTTATTAATTTGACCCTTAACCTGAAATTATTCTGGAACTTTCCTATCCATTTGATATAAATACACGAATGTACAGCCTAGATGGTTATTTCGTTGAAAATAAAATTTGAATTTCCTCAAATAGACCTGGTCTTATGTTATTTTATTTTATTTAAACGCATTAAAACTTGGTACAATATGGCACCAAGAAGGATGCGCCACACAATAATAATAAAACAACATAGATGAAAAAAAAGGAAGACAGGAAAAGAAAAAATATATATAAGTAGAGAACGAATAATGAACTTCATCTGGAAGGAAAACACTCATTCTTAACAGGTTCAAACAGTGTTCGTTAACTATCATCGGGAATGGAAGAAAGAAGGAAATCGCAACACATTCGCCATTGATTACGATTCTTGGCCATATCCGATAACGTTTCGAGCCATCGATTTGAGCTATCTCTCAGACCCCAACCAGGGAGTCGTGACACACCAACCGATGCTAATCTAGCACAAATATCCTTCATCCCACGACGCCACGTCATGGGCTGACCACCTCTCCGCCTTTTCCAACCCGTCCCAGGGCTAGCGAACAGAGACCTGTACGGAAGCCTCTGGGGTGACATTCGCAGCACATGTCCAAGCCACCGGAACCGGTGTTTCCAGATGACGACATTCAATGAATGGTGATCTCCATTGTGTTCAAACACACGCCGCCGAACCTCAGAATTACTCACACGATGATGCCATCGAACGCAAGCAATCCTGCGGAGACAGCGGTGATCGAACACGCAGAGTCGCCTCACATCCTCAGCTCGGAGAGGCCAGGTTTCACAGGCGTAGAGCAGCGCAGCCCGCACCGAAGCATTGTATACCCGACCTTTGACAGCCAGGCTAACGTCGCGACGGCGCCAGAGGTGGCTCAAGTTGATGTATGCCACCCTAGCTTTCATTATACGGTTGGAAATCTCATCCGTCATCCCTCCGCCAGCACTCACACAACTACCTAGGTACACAAACTTATCGACAACTTCAAGCGGTTCACCCGCAAGAGTGAGTGCAGGTACAGGCTCCTGCCAATCTTGTAACAGTACTTTGCACTTAGACGGCGCAAAGCACATACCATACTTACAGACACTGATCGCCAACTGAATGAGTGCGATTTGGGCAGCCTGCATGCTATCGCACAGTAAGACGATATCGTCTGCATACTCGAGGTCGAAAAGTCTATCTGCAAGGAGCAGATCTACACCACCTTCACGCACATCCTTCAGAGCTGACTCCAGAATGTCATCGATGGCAAAGTTAAAGAGAAATGGTGAGATTAGGCATTGATTACATGCTTAGAGAGAGGAGTACTGCAATCATCATATCGGATGTTATATCTGGCTGCTTTAAAGGTATTTCATCAATGTACTTTTACACAGCTGGAATATATATATATATATATATGTTCTGTTGTTCGCTATAGACTGCGCGAAAACACTTCGCGATAGCTTTTATCCTCATCCTATTTTGCTTCAAAAAAGCAAACTTGAATGTTTGTCACAAACAAGATAACAGCTGACTATGTATGCATCCGTGCAAGTATGTTGTTCTCTGTTTTATTCTGCCTATATTTTTCGGTTAAAACATTTCACTTCCTTTGAAAAAACAATTTAAAAAAGAAATGTTAATTTATCTGAAACGTGCAATGTATTTGTGCAGCGCATTTCGAACAATCTGATCTCACATACACAGAATACTTACTTGGAATTTATATGGAAAAATAAGAAAAGCGTTAGGCAGGAGTAGCCAATAGACGCGTGGGTGAAGTTAAAAGGCTATATTGAAGGTTGAAATCATAATGGAGATCAATGAACCAAATTAATTAAAAGGTGGTATAATGGTACATGAATCTTAGTATGAAAACAAAAAAAGTTATCAAGTAAGTCTAAGTGATGACAAATTGTTTGTGAACATGCAGAGGTGGTTTTAATTTCCTAATCGCTAGGGCTTCCACAAACACATCTGCTTCAAACACGTTTTATAGATAGGTTTAAAAGACGTATAAACATCAATTTTATGCGTTTTATCTATAATGTTTCACTATTATTAGTTTCGGTGAATTCAGTCTGTCTCGGAAGACATTTAGGGATATGTCCTGAGGCACTTACTTGTAGAGATCAATGTATCCTCTCTATATATGTGTAACCACTCGTACAGGGCATGAGATCATGCCCTTAGAGCTTAGACGGATATACAGGATTCATGTTCTTAATTATCATTATCGTAGCTGCATAAAAGTTCTTTTTGATCGCAACGCTCAATATTTGTCTGGCTTCTGTGATCACCCATGCAGGGCAGCTTCCTAGATATACATCCTTTTCAGCAACAAGTTGGTACCTCAACTAACTGATGCTTGCGTGTATTCTTTCTGAGCGAGAAACTGTCTTAAAATGTCCCACAAGTATCATTTACTACTGATAATACAAGTAAGTAGGTCAATTGTATCGTCCAGAATTTATCGTTCTATTATTGTGTTGTATGTACATTTTTTATTTAATTGTAGATTTTACGTGAAATCATAGCACAACAAACTGAAATGTTGACAGCCGCTCAAGAATCTATTCAACAATCTGAAGATAAAAGATCCAGGTTAGTCAACAGATTCACACACACACACACTGTACACATATGCTATATCCTTCGTCTCAGTACACGAAATTTTTTTCACATGAAGTTAGTTACTGTGATTCATATTGTTTTGTTGAATTTTGACAGACACAGTGTGAGTCATACATAAAAGAAAGTGTTGGAATATATCTATCCTAGTTACACTATGTACATATGTACAATGAATGATGTTAGTGGAAATTGATTTATCAGACTGACTTTCAAAATAAAATTTTGCACAGAAGTGTGTAACAGTTCAAACTGCTTCACTCCACTGTAGGCACACGAAAGTAGAGAAAAGAAGAAAAAAAGAGATTCGCCAGAACCAGCACCAATAGGATGCTATCTAGAGTAGAGGCATATAAGAACATCTTCCAATGTGTTTCTCGAAAGCAGAAATTAAACGAACCAATATTTCACCATTTCTTGAGCCTTTTTCCCCCTTCAAATCATTCTGAATCAATAGAAAAATCTTTCAAAGTGATATAATAGATAAGACGAAGTCTTTCTTCTTCTGCATCGGTTCCTATATGCAAATTAATAAGTTAAAAATGATGGAGGAGATTTGTACCTCATAGGTGGATGTTATCGGCCAGCGTAGTTGTGTTTTCTAGGCTGAATATGGTTTAATAACGATGCTTTCATTTTCTTTCTAGACAACAACAACATTATCTTCTGCGCTAGAAATCTTTTATTATAGAAAGGGAATGAAAACTTCGTCAAACAAACCATATCCAGCTCAGAGGGCATAATTACACCAATAAATTAGTTAGTCTATACATTTTCCTCAAAAGTTTTCTCATGTATATGTTTCAATTTTGTTAATAGATTGATGTAAGTTAGTGAACCATTGGAAAACCATCTATGTCGTACTGGACAGCTGTTTCGTTCTAGTTTGAGACTCTCCATGAGAATGCGATCATGACCTCACCGCCAGGGATCAAACCCAAGGACATCAGGTTGAGAAGCTAAGCTTGTTGACTATTATTCAGCCAATTAGGCTACAATCCAATAGCCCATGAATTTCAACTTTTATCATTCTGTAATTTTATCTTTTCTCTATATCTGTGTTTTCCTTTCGTAGTAGTGTGGAATCATTTGAAAGTAATAAAGAAATTGTCAAACGAAGACATGGTTCTAATAAGTACAATAAACCAAATACTCCTACTTCCCGACAAATTTATCCATCTGACGATAGTCGATATGGTAAAACAAATAACTCTAGTGAACAGTCTCGTATAGGACTACCACGAAGGCGTAGATACAATTCACGAAGACGAGATGGTGATGATAGTAATAAACAACCAACATGTCAATACAGTCCTTCAATTGCGGATTACCGCTACAATAATAGTGGTGGTGATTATGATGATGTTGACAATAATAAACCCAAAAAATCTAAAAAGCATAAAAAACATTCTAAATCAAAACATAAACACAAACATAAAAGTTAGAAAAGAAAAAGGAAAAAGCCCACATTTTCTACCTTGTTTTTGTACTTCTGTCTTTTTATGTTTTAATTACTAAAATTATGCACTTAAATCAATAAAAAGATAATTCCTCTTTGTCTCTTTTTCCTATGGTGTTTTGGCAAAAGTAATTCCGTGTGTTCGTTTTTATTATTGCTGTTATTTTTATTTATTTATTAAAACAGACTTGGTGGATTGTGAGCACCAAGAAATGCACCGCACAAAATCGCATAGTTTGTACAAAGTCTAGGATACTGCTCGGATGCTCAGGCTGAAGCAGATGGTTGTCTCAAGAGGCAATCCCCCCCCCCCCGAGACTTTGACTTGAAGTCTGTTCTACAAAACAGTGGAGCAGTGTTATGAGCGTTATGGTTGACAGTGATCAAAACAGGTTCATATGCCGTTCGATCAGTCCAGATTCTGGAGCCCATGTACACCATAGGTATGGAATCAGGGTTAACCAGCACCCACCATAACCAGTCTGGTTGAAAGTCCCAGATGTTCGCATTCGTCTTTTCCCTTTCTTGAGGAATACACCTGCTGCGTCAAGACCAGTGAATAGGAGTAACTTTTTAGGGTTACGAACGTGTAGCAGCATAAGAGAAGTTCTGGAGGAAGGCTGAAGTCTACTCGCCTTTGTCTTTACCAGGTTGTTTGTGGGGGCTATCGGAGGTATGTAAATGGCACATTCACAGTGTTAAGAAACACAAGATATAAATAGGTTTTGAGGACAAATAATTTCGACAGTAGAGTAAAGGGGAGCGAAATGGGTAGCTAAAAAATAGTGTTTACGGAAAACCTGTCTGCACTTTCTATCTGATACTTGGAGTTCGGTTCATCCTAACTCATGTCAATGGAAACAGGAACAGTAAAATATTTAAGTGACAGAATAAAACAGCTGAATAGTACCAAAGAAAATCTACAGTAGGAAGTAAAACATCGGGGAAGCTGTGGCACTTGCAACAAATCCCCTAACAAATTAGTCAGAAAGTGTATAGTGAAATAAAACGCACATTTTGAGAGGAATAATGAAGTCCATTCACTCTGTGTTGTACCTGATTGTCTGTGGGGGCTATGTGCGTTCACACAAAAAACTCAGATAACATAAAAGAAAATTAATTCAGTGAATAATGCCTTCTTTTCATTGAATTTTTCGTAGTTTGGAGCTGTAACTAGGATATACAAATCCGCGAATCATTGATACATCAAAGTAGAGTACTCACCAGCCATGCAGGAGGTCAGGATTTCATCACCATGCACTTGTAAACCTTGTCTAAGTGGGGTAGTAAGCCCAGAAGAGAGGGATGGTTGATCGTGAGGCTAGCTACCAACCTCACTCCGTAGAAATAAACAACACTACTGCTACTGAAAACTCAGAGATTGAAGATCCATGTACCCCTTGAAACGCAGTGTAGGGGAAAAGATTATTGATGAAATCATTTTAAGGTGTTGCATGGGAAATTATGATAGAGTAAGGATTTCAACGTAGCATTTTTATTCATATGGCTGGAGATTCTCTTGTCGCAAATTAATCTGTCCGTGATCAAACCTGTGACCAGACAAATCCTTGCAAACCAACACTTGATAATTAATCGATTACTGACAAGCAACTGGCTGTATATAAGAAGTTATTTGGAGTTCTAGTGAGAAGTACCTAATCTGCGAGGTACACCAAGTCAGGTAAGGGAACAGTTACTTGCAGATGACATGGGTTAGCAGTCGTGCTATGTATTCTAAATTGGCAAAAGTTGGAATTCATGGGCCACTGGATCAGGTGCTAATGGTTTAATGGTCTACGAGCTCGCCTTGCAGCCAGAAAGTCCTGTGTTTTGTCCTTGTTGTGGTCGTGAGCGCCTGCTTCTAAAGATTCTCTAACTTGTGTCAGCTCGTGATCAAACCTATAACCAATCAAATCCATGAAAACCAACACTTGATGCAGATATTTGGATGACGTTTAGAATAAAAATAACGAATCAGAATTCCTTTATAAACACCATTCACTACTACGCAAATCTTGGCGGTGAACTTTGGAGAGGTTGTATGATTAGGGCAAGACAATGAGTTTAAAGGATGAATTACTTGTCGGTCTAGAAAACAGTTGTGGAAGGACTGCAATTTGTGTGGACCATAATTGTCAATTCCCTGGAGTATGTAAACTAAAAAAGGTCGGTAGGTATAGATAAATTTGGTAGTTCATCCTTTACGATCTTTTCATTCAATTGCCACCTGTTAGAGATCTTACAAAGTAAATCATCAAATTCGAATTCTAAAATAGTTTTCTAAGAAGAGGTAAAGAAATGTTCCTTACACCGTCTCACCTTCATATCTTTTATAAATTGCATGAATTTAGTTCCTTTTTAACGAAATATGTAACACACAAATTTTTAAGTTAGCACACGGCATATTCTAAGATGATTTCTCTCGGAGATTTATTTTATCTTTTGGCAGGGAAACATTTTGGATGCTGAAATGTCCTCTACTTATTTCATGAAATTGCTTGAAAGGGAGAATAATTATTAAGCTTTTCCAGTATGACACTGAGATCATTTTTCTGACCATAGAAGGAAACTGACCGATGGTTTGATATGGTACACAGTATTTTCTAAACTGATAGTAAAGCAGTATATCAGGAGCTGATACAATTGTGGCTTCATTGTTGTTCTATCTTTTGACTAATGAGACTAATTGTTGAATAATTTCTCCAAATATTGATTCGGAAAAGAGAAAAAGCGATTGTTATCTTCCATTTATTTACTCATGAAGGATTTAGTCTCAGCGTAAAAGCATTTGAAAATGATGGATTGATACCCAAAATTAGCTATTGCTTTACACATCGCTTGAGCTTTTTGAAAGAATCAATAAAATCAAGCGTTCTGAATTACTAACCTCACTTATCACCGGCCTCATGGTTGCATGGTAAAAGGAGTTATCAGTTGCAATGTGGAGTACATTATATAATCTTGGAGAGATGGAACCAGATGTTTTTAACTTCTCGAAAATCTCACTGCTGATTCAAAAAGGATCACTGTGGCTCAGATGCATTAAAACCTCTCATATATAGTATAATTATTTGGGTGGAACATAGGACTTCAGCGCCACATCTGCATCGCGCTCCGTTCTGTCATCGCTTTCATCTGGCTACGAAACTGCCCACAAGCTTTCATATCCTCTTCACATGATCTCCTCAGTGTCTGTCTTGGGAGCAGTAGGTTGTTGGCTACCTGTCAGAGTTCCTTGTTACTTATTCTTTCTGGTAAGTTGTCTGACTTTCAGTGTTGATAAAGGTCTGTATCAGCCCGTTGGGAATGCCTTCAGTGACGCCCGTAGCAAGTCTCTGAACCCTAGAAAGAAGCACTGATTGATCTGCAATTAGTGTCAAAAATTCGAATCTCAATTCTAGTGTACTTAGCGCAAGTTCTTGAACTAATCAATAGTAACAACACTCTTGTCACTTACTGCATTTAAGATGTAATCGAAGTGAATGTTATTCACAAGCATGGCCAAATCTAGGATGTCATTTAATTTACAATCATTCCTTCTGCACATTTCTCCACAAATAATCTCCAAGATGTTAGTGGCTTGTAAACAATCGATAGGAATCTGTCGACATAGATCAGTACCAGCTTGCTGGTACTCGTCAGCAACGTGTATCTGCTGATACTGGTTTGTGACGAAATCTACATTGAAATAGTGTATATATATTTTACCCGTAGGAGGCATTGAACTATATGATGGCTAGTAATATTCTTTGACGGTCCAAATCTCAACAGATAAACTGTTGTTTGAACACAGGTACCTCTGAGCAGAACGTGAGTAGTATTTATACTGATGAAACTCGACGTACAATCAAATTCACTCACTTACCTGCGCAATTGCAATTATATATAATTGTGTGTGTGTGTGTGTGTGTGTGTACGTACGACAAGAATAGAAATTAATTCAGAGTACTGTTCACATCAAAATATTTCAAAACAGTGATGAGTAATCAAATTGTGTAGATTGAAAATCCCCATTGAGTCATATGAAAAAGAGAAGACATTCAGCGAAGAGACTCTTTTCGGCGAATTCATTCACATAGCTGTACAATCGCATTTATATATAAATATTTATGTGTGTGTATGTGTACATGAGGTTTGTCAAGTTAAGATAATTGATTAGTTAATACAAGAATGATGTAGTATAGAGACAAAGTTAATCGGACAGCAACTAAAGTAAGATTGAGTTAAAAAGCTAGATGACGTAATATAATTGGCTAACATGTTACAACTTAGGTCAGGATAGCAACAGAGGTAATTACAGGTAGAGATTAAGTAGAAGTGAAATTGAGTGAATAAGTTGGATGACGTAACATGAATGACTAGAAACTGAGCGTTGTTCAAGTCAGTAACAGTGGTAGTGAGGTGTAGAAATTGAATCGGGTGGGGGTAGAGAACAAGAAAGTTGAAAATGTAAAATGTTACGATTGAGGAGACAAAATAATACTAATGAAGAGACAGAAGAAAAGATTAGGTAGAATTTACATGTCGGCTAATAAGATAGATTACGTCCATTGCAAGTGTAGTGATTGGACGAACTTCTTCTGTATGCAGAGTTCAGGACTAAGCAAGTGAATCGCTATTGCTTCTGCAGTTTGAAGAAGTCTGATTCGTACACCTTTAGGGAGACTACTTCTTACTCTGTAGACGACTTTGAAGTTTGTTTACGGTGTAGCTTGGTGTCCGGATTCTATCAGATGTTCTAAGATGGAACTGCGGGGGCATCGATTTTCTCCTTTGTAAAACCATGTTGGTAAGCGCTCGGTGATACGTTAGGAAAGCGAGCGCTGGGTACGGCCGACATACCTGGCTCCACACGAGCAGGTGAATTGATAAATGCACATTGATGAGGCCAGCAGCGGTAGCTTATCCTTCACGTTCACATGAATCATAGGTTTTGTGGAGAAGGTTAGTCGTAGTTCAGCTGCGAGAGTGGGGGTGGGGTGAAGATTCATAAGTTCACAAGTATAAAACTGTGGTAGAGTATAAATCTATATTGGATAAGATTTTATTTTGATAAATCACAATGTTATA